GGGCAGGTGCTGGATCTGCAGCGAGACCTGCCCGAACAGAGGAAGGGCAGCAGGATCAGCATGATAGTCTGCAGACGTTAAACACTGCTGATGACGTGTTACAAATTCAAACCGCCCTGATGTGCTCGATACAATGGGACAAAATTTAAACTGTTAATCTGGCCCCTTCCTGGGCTCCACACACTGGTGGTTTGGATGAAACACAACAGCCCCGGGGGCATGCTTCATCCTTGGGTTTGAAGAATACCAAAACACTTCCTCAGCTCAGCTGGGTTTACAACACTGTGTGATTACTGATCATGTGAAGGTTGGGATTTCCATAGTGGATTGTGTGTTAGCTGACATCAATACGAGAGGTAGGAAGTATTTTCATTGAGAAAGTAATTGGTGGTGAATATGAGCTACAACAGTTATTAAAGTAAAACATAATGCTAGATAACGCTAGAAGTGAGCAAAATTTCACACGAGTTTCACACTTTGATTCCCAGCAGAAGGTAACAGCAATTTTATGGAAATAGGACGAAAATAGTTTGCCTAGTATTTCATTTGAATATGGAAATGTTACATAAATTTATAAGACTGCTAAAGAGTGGTGGGAAAAAAACAATCCTGTAAGAATCCCAAGAGTGAATATAAGGCTGAAAAACAAAAGAGAATCTATACTGGTTTGGTAGGCTTTTTCCCATTTGCTTTGGATGCGGGTCTTTTTTAATGTCTAGGTTAATTTTCTTAAGACAGACATATTTGTATGTATGTGCGTTTACTTACATACAACATCTATGTTGTATGAAAAAAGTTATGAAAAAAGCAGAGAAACTAGGCTGTAGGAGGAGAGTAAAAAAGTGCATTCACACTGGAGAGCTAATGGAGAAACTGGTCCTGAGCTCACTGCAGTTTACAGGTGTTGCTGGGGGCCACCTACTCTAGATGGACTATAAGACAGTTTTCAACAAAAATTGTGGGGACAAAGGTATCAGTGCTCTGCATCTGCAGGAACCTTTGCTTAGCTCTGTGTGTACCAAGCACAGCTGAGTTTACAATGAACTCTTTTCATGCTTCTAAACATATTCATTTAAATCTGCTTATTTTAATGATAAAGATCTAATTCCCAAACTGTCTGTTTTAAGTGATTTATACTTATTCAACATCCATGCTTAGAAGCAGGGGAAGGCATTTCCCTTCCAATGTCAGTGGTGGTGTGCCTGAATGTTCTGCATGCCTGGGCTCCTCCAGCCCATAATGTGCCATAGTCATCTCCAGGAAAGCCAGAACCCACATTTTCATCTTGGAGAGCTCCAGTGGAGTAAAAAGGAATCTCTGTACTTTTAAATTATGCACAAAACTTAGAAGTGGTGAAGTGTCTGTCACAACATACATACGGACAGGTTACCTTTAAAAGACCTAACTTGAAAAGATGTAAGTCCCTGCATCAAGAACTTGCATCCGTTTTTTCAGTGCATGTATTGTCTGACAGAGTTGTGTTGTGCTACCAACACCTACCAGCTCACGCACAGGAGTGCCAGCATTGAGAATTATTTTGAGGATATTTTCTGGCTGCAAGCCGTTGCAGCACTTGGTCCTCCTGATACAGGTCACTAGTGCTAAGCTTCAGGAAAACATTTAAGAACAAGCTTCACTTCAGTGCCTGAGGAGGTTTTATTGGCTTGGCATTCAGGACTCTGTCCAAGGTGGGTACAGGCTACTGATGGGAGTGACTACAGCTTCTTTGCCATCATCTGATATGGGGCCCACTTCACACCATGCAGTGACTCAAGAGAGAAGCTGTTGCCTCCACAGTGCATCTGGTAACTCACACGTGTCTCCAGCTACCCACTGTCTGAGTGACACAGGGTGCCAGCACTGATGCTGAAATCTATAAGGACGACACTGTCTGAAAAAAGAACATGGTCCTTACCTCTAGAAGCCCACAGACCACAACTTTTCCTTGTCTTCCGTTCCAAAAATATTATTGTGGCTTCAGAAAGAAATAATACTTATGAGAAGCCAGTGAATGTGGAAAAGATGAGAAATCCTAATGAAATATGCAGTGCCCTGACTGCCTTCTAAGTGGTTAAAACTGACAGCAAAGGAAAAAAAAGAAAAAGGCATTGCTGCTTTCCTCTTCCTTACAAAACGTATTCAGAGGAAGTTTTACAAACCACGTATTGGTCTTCTGTTGGCCAGAATAATTTAAGTAATAATTTAATTAATGCCTGAAAGCCACTAAAATAAGGCTTAATGCCCTTAACAAGCCATCGTACTTCTAGTCAGAAAACCACACATTTTGGTATTTCTTGGAAAGATGAAGGATTTGTGTCACAGAAAAACAAACAGTATAAAATTAAAAATTCAATGCAATTTTTTGCTGTATCTGATTTCTAAGGAATAAACAGAATAAACAGACACTTTATAATCTCACTGCTAAAATGCAGATGGCTACATTCTGCCCTCAGCTACATTTGTCAAATACAGATTTCTACTTACATAAAATAAAGAATGGATTCAGCAATTTCTCCTTGTAAAATGAAGTGACAAACAAAATGGCATGTATCAAACAAAGGCAGGAGCATTTTTACTCAAAATGTGATGAAATCGCTTCAGTCATTAGGACAGTTTTCCATGTTGGAGAACAGCACAATTTCAGCTTTCTTTCATTACCTTTCTCTGCAGCTAACACAGTGTCTCCCTTCCTTCCTCTCTTCTGTTTGCCTTAGAGAATCGTATCTGTTCAGAAGATATGCTTATTATCATGTTTAACATATCCATCTAAAATACCACTGCAGTAAAAAGTACAGTAGCAAAGTGAACAGCCCTTTTCAGCCAGTGGTTTGTTGTCTGGGGTGGGTTTTTTTGGAGGATAAACAACATGTGTCCCTCTGGCTCTGGATCTGATTAAGAGAAGCCTCAGACATAAGAGATACTCAGAATTCATGGAGTTGAATTCTTTTCTAGCTGCAAACCAAAATGCATGAATAATGTTGTTATTTGCAAGGCTGGTAGAAATCTGGAAGAAGTCCACAGGAACGCAGAAACCAAGGAGTTTTGCTGCCTGTGTTCCTGTGACTGACTTCAGTCAAGCTGTGGGTTCACATCACCAAAAGTACAAGAATTGATTGGGTTATTTTCTTCATCAGAGGGAGATTTTTTGAAACATTACACAAGCTTTTAAGATCAAAACTTTATGTTATGATGAGCAACCTGATCTAACATCAACAGTAGCCCTACTTTGAACTGGGAGTTGGAACAGATTCTCTTCTAAGGGTTCCTTCCAGCCTAAATTGCTCCATTCTGTAATTCTGTGATTATTTAAAATGGAGTTCCATTCATGAGTGAGACAGTTGAACAATCCAGAATAAATTAACATTACTGATATTGTGCTTTGATAAGGAAAGTGATCTGAACTGGCCTTTAAGAAAATAAATCTATGTATTCAGTATCAATTACACAGAAGATGTAATGATGTAAAATACAAGTTTAGTACTGTTTTAGTTAGAACCATCAAGGAAGTGATGTAAGTATAAAAATAATGATCTCTGATAACACAAAATGAAAAGAACATTTGGGTGGGTCAAGCCAAAGATCATTCACCTCAGTGTCCTGTATCAGGCAGTGGCTGGTACAGGTGCCTAGGGAAGAGTGCAGGAACAGACAAGCATTTACATGTCAGCTCCCCATCCTTCGTCCCCTGCCATGCTGAACTCTGTTGTCACACACAGGCTACAGGGACAAAGTGAACTGAGAGCAGGTACCGAGGTACCTGTTAATGTTGTTTTCAAGACTGCAGTAGGAGGTACAGATGTTGTCATATTTGTAAATTAAAATAATCAATTTGCTTTAAATAACAATTTGCTTTTGATCCCTGCTCCTGCAGACATACAACCTCCTAAAAACACTGAATATCCAAAAAGCAAGAAAAATCACGCTGGACATTTCCTTTCTTGCAGGTTTTATAGATTCAGGCTGGATAAAACCCTCAACAACTGCATTTGGCCTCATCAGTAACCTCGCTTGGAGCAGGAGGTTGGCCAAGTGTCCTCCTGGGGTCCATGCTAACCTGAATGATTCCACAATCCTATGATTCTCAGTTGGTTACTATCCTATTTTGAAAGCAGCTATGGCATGTTTTGTTTCTAGGCCAAACCTTTGATGTGGGAATCACTTTAAAATAAATAGGTCAATCAGAGTGTGGATTCAGCCCTGCCTTGCTTTTTACAATAATTGTGTACGCTGTAACACTTTTATCCTTTGCATCTGCCAAAACCCCAGTCCTGCAATATTTCCCCTATACAACAGTAGAAGATGTTGTATATATTTTAACCAAAGCCAGAGACAATCTGCTATTTCTAAGTGAACTGATGCAGTAAGTTTGTCTGCAATTTTACTTACCCTTTGTTTACCCAAGGTGGTTTGTACTAAAATCCAAAGAATGACGTAGGCAGGAAGTAAAAGTGCAGGCAGACACACCCTCTAAGGACTTTGCTTTTCCCTTGGATCATATGCCTCTGCTGAGCAAAGGACAGATCATCTTTGCTGTGGTACGTAAAGTTTTACTGAAGCTACATGTTAGATCTTGTTTGAAAAAGATAACCCAGAAATCTTATAAACAAAACTATTATTTGTCATTGATTTTAACAATCTTGCATTCTATCAGGATTTGTTACACGCTGTGGAAAAATCCATACTTCAGTCACACTCTCATGTCATTCCGAGGAACTACTGCTTTGGCAACACCGAACTTTCTTTCCGGAGGCCGTGTGCTGGTGCGGGAGCCGCAGGCCTGGCCCCGCTCCGCAGCTCCGTCGCTGACCCCGCCGCAGGGACCCCAGCCGTTGTTTGCGGGGTCTCTCCCTCCCTCCCTCGCACCGCTGTGCAACCTGAGCGGAAGCGATGGCCCGAGGGGCTTGTCCTGGCGGCTGGAATATTCACGTGTTCCCATCCCGTGCCCCCCCCCGCGGCTGCCGCGCGGCGCCGTCCCCCAACGAGCGCGTTCCCATGGCGACGGCGTCCTGGCAACCGCTCCCGCTCCCGCAGCCCGGCCTGCGGCGGCCGCCCCGCTCCTGCAGCCCGGCGGGCGGGCGGAGGCCCCGCGCTGCGGGCGGACGGACAGGCAGACGGACGGACGGACGCCCCGGCTGCTTGGAGGCAGCCGCGAAGGCTCGCCAACGGCTGCTCTAGCGGTGGCAGCGCGTTAAGGAGCGGGGCTCAGCCGGCCGCTGGGATGCAGGGAAAGATGGGCAGCGCTGTCCTGCCCTGATCCAGCACGGGTGAGTGCGCGCAGCGCCCTGCGCCCGCCGCTGAGTCTGTCCCAACTGTGCCTCCGTGTTGCATGGCCGTAGAGTGGTGTCTGCGCCGCGGTGTCCTGTCAGCTGTCGCCTACCCCGTGTCTCACAGCCCTCACCACGATTCCCGATGACCCCCGCACCGCGGGGTGCCTCCGGCGCGCCCGGGCCTGTCTGCCCGGCAGAGCCGCGGGCGAGGCGAATGCAGGCGGAGCGGAGCATCCCCGCGGCGTGCCGCCGAAACGGGTCCCAGCTCGCACCCCGAATGCTGCATGGCTGCGTTAGCACCAAGCACCTGAGCAGGCGCGTTTCTCAAAGGACCCTTAGCCTGGGCTCGGAGCTGGCACGGTTCCCTCTCTGCCAGGGGGGAGCCCCCGCCCCGCACTCCGCCGCACACCGCATTCATGTTCACAGAACGTCATGGCAGCGCAGAGGGGTTTTGAAGGGTTTGTTTCACGTGACGCACTGATACATCAGTTTTTGATCCATCTTTTTGCCGAGTTGTGACACAGGGGCTTTCTCATGTACTCCAAAATGTCGCCCCAAAGTGCTCCAGAGTAACAGCAGGATCTGCGGCTCCGGGGCAGTGCTGCCATACCGTACAGCAACCAAACTGGTTTCTATTTTCAGAAGAAAAGAGCGATTAAAGTGTTTGCCTAGGCAGGTATTTCAGTCTGCTTCGATTCCCATGCAACTTGTGTCAAGTCACATAGCCCCCACGTGCTTCACTTCCTGACCAGCAACAGAAGGAAAATAGTATTTTCAGGAAAAATAATACTTTCCCACCACCCAGGCATATTGTGAGAATGAATGTGAAAACCGCTCTGTCGTGCACTGACATTACAGCAAGTATTTGACACAGGTTTTCATGGAAGATGGAGAACTGAACATTACAGATGTGATTATCCTTCAAAACAGGAGAAATGGAGAACCCACAGAAAATAAACATGCGAGGCAGTCTGCTGAAGTGGGCAAGGCATGCCACAGTACAGATAGCAAGGAATGAACTTTGCATTGCTAAAAGTGTTTCTTCAGCATGTCCCATGTATGTTTTTTTTTCCCAAGCTTTTACATGTCTGATGTCAATGACATGAAATGATAAAAGAGGTGCCAGATGCTCGTATGGAAAAGCTGCCTTACGTATCAGCTGAACTCTTGCTTTTGGCAATCAGGCATACCATTTAGAACTGGGAAAATCTTGTCCCTGTGACAAGTATACTTGGAATATTCAGTAAATTAAATCAATCAACAAAAATCACGGACTAATATGTCATGATTTAAATTGCTATAGTAGTGTCAAGCAGGAGATAACATGTAGAAAACATAAAGCACCTGAAACCTGTATTTGAACTGGTATCCAAGTTGATTCCAGTTTACTGCCACTAAAATCAGAGCTATGTGAAATTACACTCCTCTGAATCTAGGCACAGAATATATTTTTTTTTCCTTTATTAGTCTATTCTATGATTCTAAATCAGTATTGTGCTCATAAAGAGGGAGTCTGTCATTAGTTCTGACACCTAATCCATTATTGTTTACTCTAAGTATCTCCAAACTGAAGAAAAGCTTTTCTACAACTGCTGAGCAAGGTCTTAACACATCACTTCTGGATGTTAGATGAGATCAAGAAATCTGATAAATGATGGGGTATTTCACTGTTATACTGAGTGATGTGCTTCAGTCAGCAGGAACGAATGAATGAGAGTCCATCTGTGTAACTTTAGTTTCATAGGCACAATTTCTCCAGACATTTGCATTTAGCTGCATGTCTAATGTAGTCTGGCAGAAAAAAAGTAAAACCTTCAAGCAATCCTATGCTTGCTCTGTTGCAAACATTTTCTATTTTTTTCAATCTATAATAAATGAATACTGAACGTTCTAAGATTACAACACTTGTTTACAACACTTAGTATAATCCAGTCAAGGGTTTTTTATTGTTTGGCTGTTTTTTATAAGGTGTATTTCACTAAGATACTGCTAGAGGTACAGACTTTAATATTTGTTCTTCGTTTTTCTAGGTAGCATTCAGTGCTTTGCTGCTGTGATATGCACAGTTCTTCCAAATGAGTGGGATATTCCTGAGTTTATAACTAAGTTGTGTTTAAATGTTTCACTGCATCAAGATCAGTAGAACACATTATGGCCCAGAGGATTAGGAGTGAATGAGCTCAGATCTACCGAGAGGTGCCCGGTTACTGTAGTGTAACACTGCGCACAGCAGGGATGCCCTGCAGGGCGATGGCATTGTTTAAAGACAGCAGCCGGGAAACCACGAGCGTGAGGAACAGGCTGCGGGACCGGACAGTCAGGGCCTGGGCCGGTCTTTGAAAGCAGAATTAATCAAGACGATAGCCAGCTCTTATACTGTGCCTTTTACTTCTAGGCACGCAAGAACTTAAGGAGGAAGGTATCTCTGTCTTCCATAAAGGGAAATAGAATCATTAGATAGAGAAACAACTTGCCCATGGATTGAGCAAGGAATTAGAATCAGACCTTCTGAATTGCAGTCTAGTGTCACTGCTGCTCAGCAACCCAGCTTCTCTCAAAACTATTTTTCTCTAATTTGTAGTTTCTGAAACACTGTGCTATAAATAGAACACACATACTGTGACAATGTTTGCTCTCTGATTTTAGGCAGTGCTTTCATACATTTCTAAAGCACAAACATGCTTGGCATTTTGAGATCTCTGAGGGTAGTCCTAGCACTTCTTTACTATCAGTATTTCACTACTTTGTGCGAATAACCCTATTTTCCTGTTTGTACAGCATATTACACCAGATTTCATCAGCAATTGCAAAATTCTTTTCATACATTAGCCTTTAGTTTTAAGTAAAGATTTTAGGTTTCCAAGGAATTCAGGTTCAGTCCATGCTCGTCCTATTTGTAGTTAATATTTATTTCTTTTATATAAGGTGGAATACTTGGATTTCATTGAGGATACCATCTTTTTCATTAACTTGATTTCTGTCAATGAACAAAGCTATTAGCCATGTACTGGTCTCCCAGTAAGATATCCAAAATGTTCCTCTAAAGCTACTTAACAGGCCTACCCTCCTGCAATGTCTGTCACAGTCTGGCTGGCTATGTCTAAAAATTAAAACCAGAATTTATATTCTTATCACAGAAGCATTTACAACATAAAGTGTGGCAATTTAGATTTGAAGACAGATTAATGCAAGGCTCAGTTTTCCTAAACTATGCTGATGTGACACATTTAATTTAGGATTCTGACTGCCAATGCTTTTACTGGAAAGATACCCCCAAAAATCTGCTGTCATGAAATATTTTTACTCCATTCTCTAGACAATACCTTTTTAAGCTTTATGATAATCCTGTTGATCTTACTTTTTAATTGATTGGTTAATGATGTCTGAGACCAGCAGAGAGATTGGGGACAAGAAGTTTGTTTGCCTCTGTCGTGCCAAACCAGTTCTGTGGGTCAACAGCAGATTTCAGTTTCAAGGCTGTCAACCATGCCATTTTCAAGAGTATCGTTTTCCCTACAAAAAAAAGCTGTTTAGCAGTTTTTTGTTTCTATTCTTTTGTATTAATTTTTATCTGTACTTATTCCATAAGAAATATCTGAATTCCGAGATCAAAGCTGTCAGCATATTCTTAAACTTTACTTAAAGGTTCACTTAAAACACAAGCATTAAGTTGTTTCAGTGCCAGATATAAACTACTAAATAATTCACTGTGTACTTTTTCAACAGACATATATTATTGACCAGAAAATGGCCCAGCGAAGCCCAATCTTCCCAACTCTTGCCCCTTCTGAAAGGTACAGTTTGGAATGTAAAAAATAAAATCTTCATATTGCAAAGTATTATGTGTCTCTCAATTCCCTATATCTAGTAATACTGTACTTGGGACTTTGGCATTAGTATGCAAAGCAAAGTGAAATCCTGTGGATTCATTTAAATCATGGCCCAAATCACAATTCCTTACTCAGCTTTTACATAACCTTTTCCCGGAGAAATCAAATAGTTTAAACTGTGAGTAGAAGTCCGAGAACACTATACTCAGCCAGTCTTCTAATAGTATGGACTAAGTGCAAAAACTCAGAAGAGACCTTTACTGGAGTCCTCATACATCTCTATCAGTATCACCATGGTGAAAGTAAACTGTTAATTTGGCTCATTAATAGGAAACAACATGGAGAATGCACAGTAAATACAGTTCCAAGAAAACTATCTTGTCTTTGAAAGTGGGGTTGAATTTGTATCTTCCACCTATGCTTTGGAAACTTTTCTTTGCTCTTTACAGAATACAGCAGCAGGAAAAGATTGCATGCATTAGCAGCCTAATTTTTACTTTGGGCACCCATGAGCTCCATTGCTTTCCATGGAAGCTATGCAGTGCAGAACTCTTGAAAAATCTAGACAATTATTTAAGGTACCCAAATGTAAGCTATTTTGCAGGACAATTTGACTTCCAAGACTATGAGAAGCTAGTCACAATTTTGGTCTCCCCTCAGTTAGTACATGTGCATATGGTCCTGTGCAGGACATGGAGGAACAAGCTTTATTACAGAACAGCTATAGAGACTGAAAAAAGGAATGGATACAAGCTACGCCTTTTTAATCTTGGTCTGCTTCCATTTAATTTGCAATATCTGCCTTCTGCAGTTACTCCTTTGATTAAGCCTGAAAACTGTAGAGCCACATAGCATTACTTTTGTAATACAATAGAAAGGTTTTGAATTTGGATTCTTAATCAAATTATAGCTCTGGATTGTAACTAATTTTATAATGCTAATGTCCTTTTCTTAAGACCCTTTGATTTTTTAAGCTTCTTTAAAGAATATGAAAAAGAGCCTGACCTGCTTTTGTACATGATAGACACAGTAGCCAACACTTATTTGTAGAAGTGGGTTACTCCAAAATACTGCCACTAAGGTAATATTGCACTTTCTCCAGTGGAAAGACATTGCAGAGTTGTGTGTGAGAAATTAACAATATGTGGATATTCTTCTTCACTAGACGGGTTCGAAACATAGCACTGCATAGCCAGGCACTGACAGCGGTCCCGTTGGCATCTGCGACCCTGGTGGATCAGCTGGAAGACAGAATCCTAAGCCATGAGAAAACAACGGCGGCTCTTGTGGAACACGCTTTTCGCATTAAGGAGGACATTGTTTCCACTCTGCACAGAATGCAGAACAAAGGGGGGGGTGACCGGTTGGCTAGGCAACTCTTGGAGGAACATATCCGAAACATAACGGCAATAGTGAGGCAGCTTAATCGGGACATTGAGGTATGTTAAGAATTTTTCACAGGACTAATGCCATCTCAGCTACTTATTCCTTCTGATTTAATAAGAAAGTTTACCACAGGATAACTAAAGGTCAGACAAGGTCTAAAGATCCTGCAAGCTTATGAATTTTTTCTGTAACTTGAAAAACTGCTTGCAAGTTGCGTAATTCTTTCAGTGGCTATGAAGATAGCACAGCATATTAGCATACAAACACAGAAACCTTTGTGGTACTAATAAGCTTGCTTTTGAAAGCTGCACTGGAAAACCTCAAAAAAATGAATTAATGCAACACTCATACCCAGCTCAACTTCAGACCAAAGCCTGTGCTGTATAAACACCAGGAAGTGCCTTAGCTCTGTTATAAACCTTCTTTCACTTCCAACTTAAAGATGACACCAAGCAGCCAAATACAACTGCTCATTTTTATGACCTGACCACATGCAGATACGTGGCTTCACACCTGACCTCTGCTGCAATGAGCAACAGGGGTGTGGTGGGGAAAATAAAAGGATAAAAGTTAATATTTAAGTCTCCATTCTGTTGTCAAGTCATACTTTATACATATTATGGTATTTATATGCAGATTGGACACTGAGAATAAAAAAAAAAATAATATACGACCGAAAAGGTGTCGGGTTCAGTTCAAGACAAAACAAAGCTTTTAATAAAGTAATAAAAAAATTGTATCTGATGTTATGAAATACTGAAAAATAATGAGTGACATTTTAAGTGTACGTTAAATGTGACATACTGAGATTGTATTTGCATATGAATGCTTTGTAGATGCTGCAGGAACAGATACGTGTCAGAGACAATCTCAGCTATGGAACAAATTCTACCCTGAAGAGTCTGGAAATGAGGCAGCTTTCTGGTTTAGGAGATCTTCGGGGAAGAGTTGCAAGGTAAAAGTCAACACAGAAGCATAATTTGGGGACTCCCTAATGTTGTTTTAATCTTGAAGTATGAATGTTAATGACAATGGGCTGAGTTCAACTTTGGCAAAATTCCTGGGATAATTTTACTCTGTGTTTTCAAGAAAATGAATAATAATCCTTTGCATTCCAGTATTACGTGTTAAACATAACAATGCTATCCTTGATTCCTGAAATTCCTGAAATTAGTTTTTAATAAATTACCTGAAATTCCTTAGGAATTTGGATTTGGTTCAGCTTTAAAGACTACTATGGTTGAACTGGCCTATCTTTGAAACAAATAAATTAGCACAATTATAAAGGCAGCATGGAACGATTGCACTTGTAAAGAACAGAATAGTTGCACATTTTTTGCATGTATCTTAGAAGTAAAAAGCTGTGTGTTCAGTTATTGGTTAGCCATGCTACAAAAAAAATGCATGGGCTACTGACATGTAAGGAACTGAAAATTATAAAATAATAGAGGGTTTACAGGCTATTTGAAACTCCAGATTACAGTTGTGCCACGAGACCTCACGTGCTATCAACAACACATTTACAAACTCCAGTTTAACAACATTCGCTTAACTGTTTGTAAAGTTGAACACAAAAGACAGATGATACACACAGCTACAGAAAAAGGACCTAATCTGCTCTAAATTAGTTTGGCTCATAACTCTGGTGGAAGTCTACTTGTCCTGAATTTGACCTAGTGTTTATATTGTACAGATAACTTTTAATTTTTCTTTTCTTGTACTTAAACTGATTTAACGATAACATTCAACAGCCAAAAGAAATTATCAGGAGGGATTTTCCTCGAACTAAAGTTTTCTCATAAATCATTGGGGTGGGTTTTTTTTTGCAGTTCCCACTAACATACACAGCCCATTTTGTAAAGAACTTCAGAGAACTTTCACTTGCTGTTTTGCACTATCTTTTAGTGCATAAATGAACTAGATATTAGAAATGAACCAGATGTTTATTTTGTCAAACAACAAAACTGATTGAAAAAATATATAGAGAGATCTCTACACACATATATAGCTATCTCACTGACAAACCCCTGGGACATTTACATGCTTAGATCTTCCTGCTTCTTTATCTAAAAAGTCCAGTTTGAGATCATACTACATCCTGACAAAAGTCCATGTTTGGAACAACACAGTTACTGACACTTTCTAAAGCCAAATATAGTGCCTTTACTTTCAGTAACAGAACTCAAGTTAACAAACACATGCCAGTACAAACTTTACAATGGGACCATTGCCTCTCCCAAGTACTTGCTATGGTGACTGGTAGTGGGACTAGCACAGGCTGTGCCAGGATTTCTTCCTTTATTTACCTGGGGCAACACCATGTACTGTGCCTGGCTTGCAATTTATCTGATAATTGTATGAGATTATACCAATTTGCCTTATGTTAGATTGTGCAAAAAATGTTGGCTATTTGTATTCACTACCCAAAGAGAATCAGTTTATTGTCCTTTAACTGTTACCTTCTAGTCACCATTACCCTAGTGATTCTGTGATTACGCTATGTAAAAATCATATCTGAATGAGGAAGAAAATAAGCTTCCCTTTATCAGAAAGCAAGCTAAAGCACTGTTCCATGGAAGAAAGCTATTTGCCTTTATTTACAGACATACTCTACTTTGAGAAAGAATGTGAATTATTATATCAGTATCTGGAGATCATGGTCAAGTTGGCAGTTTATTATGCTGCTGGCATTGTACAGACACTTACTAGAAGCATTCCCTGGGATAAACACTTTCTGATTACTTTAGCCAAGGTTCCTTATGTAAAATAAGCTGAACTCACAGTAATTTTAACTTTAACATCTAGTCCTGCTATCTTTCAGATGAGTTCAGAGAGTGGAACCTTAGAAACATGATCAAGTTACTGTAGGTTACCTGCTTACTATGCAGCAGTTTACAGCCACAATCAAGGTAAAATGTATGGTTCATGCTGCAGTGACAGTAGGCTAATTTAACTTCAAGTACATCATGGTTGCTCTAGGCTAGAAGCATGCAGATGGACAATGAGTGTGAATCAGTTTATATGTGCCACATGACAGCAAATCACCTGAGTCTGAGCTTTTTGGTCCTGTAATAATTTTAGTGTCAATCTCAGGATGCTGGCCAAGTTTCAGGTCCAGTAACTACACACGTACTAAACATCCTATTCAACTTCAATATTGGCGAGATTGGTGTTTATTTCCTAACACCAACTGTTCTCTAACATGACAATATGTAATCAAGCAACTGTCTCATTATTTCTTCAGGACTGATGCTTTTAATTATGAGAACAGGGATCCCTACATGCACATGCATTTCTGATGCACAGCTCCAAAACCATGCTACCCACAGCTCTGGAAGAGGGAGATTTGGACAGACCTCACAGTTGACCTCACCTGCACCACAGAATCAACTAATATCACTATCAAAAGAAAACTGTATACACATTACAGCTCATGTCTCTGGGCTATTTCTCATTAAGCACAATTTATTGCTGCATTTGTAGAGCATCACTGCAGTGCTCACCACGAATGATGCTGTACATTTTCCTAAAAATCAGCATTATTACTGACTTCAATAAAAATATGACTTCTATTGAATTCAGTTACACATTCAGCAGAAAATTAGACAGATGCCGACAGATCCATTACTCCAGGCTCCTGTCCCTGATGTTGGCAATTTTGTATAATACAGATTTACTAATTCTATTTCTAGTGATATTCAATCGTTACAGTAATGAGTACTGCCTTATCATTTATTTAGGGAATAACTTGTGGGCTATGATAATTTGCCTGGAAAGTTTAAATACAGCAGCCTGGTCAGAGCTATAGCAGTAGCTGTCTCTAGAAGCTTCCTGATAGATGAAACATCCAGAGAAATCACAGCTATGCACATTCAAATTGGGCCTACTTGGCATATTTAGATGATTTTTATATACATTACGATCTGATTCATTTCAGACACACTGGACTCATTACATGTAGGCAGATTTTCCTACACTGCACAGAAAATGAGTCTGATGCATCTGGGATGTGCTGCATTTATGAACTGCAGAAGTATAACAAATCTGCTGCATTCTGGCTACTTGCTGTGTAGGAGATGCACATCATGCGGGCTGATCTGGGCTCTTTGATCCGGGCTAGTCAGAAGCTACCAGCGTTGCTGTTCTTGCCCAGTGGGTCCCCTACACATATTGACTTGCTTTTCACTGCTTCTTCTTCAGCTACTTGTTTGTCAGTGAAACACTCATAATTAAACTGAAATATCTCCTGTTACACTAAACCAGGAACATTAAGATCTGTATGTACCATTATAGTATATTTAGATAGCATCCTGCTGCAGAGTACTGATGTAGTTCTCAGATTTATCTAGTCGCTGGTGATACAGAATAGAGCAACCACTGTGTTTTGATTTGCTATAGATCAAAGACAACAAAAATACTCCTCAGTGTGCCAGAAAAATAACTACTGCTTTTGCTCACCATGACTTGGAAAGCAGTTGTTTGGTAATTTCACTGTTTACATTAAACATTACTTGTTCCTCTCATTCTGAAAATGAGAATAATACTTGGCACTGTAAAATCTCTCAATTTCTTCTTCATTTACTGATTTCATATAAGCACACAGCTTGGCAATCAGAACTTTCAGAAAATGTACTCCAAAATCAAAACGCTGGTGAACTGAACACATTCTAGTTCATCTCTGGCCCCATTTCAACAGTGCATCTGTGCAATTGCATTGAAAAACTGCACTGGGTTGCTTGTATGGCCAGCTTCAGCATTTCAGACATGAAGACAGATTTGGTGTCCCTGCCCATGGCAGGGGGATTGGAACTTGATGATCTTAAGGTCCTTTCCAACTCTAACTATTCTATGATTCTATTATGCATTTCTTTGTACAAAATGGTTTTACATACAGCTCTTAGATTTTTAAACTAATATTCTTCCTAGAAATCTTAATCTATTTCTCATTTCTTTCCTTGTGCTTTTAAGGTGACCAAACCTGTAAAGCTGTTTTCAGCTTCCATATATAGCCACAGTCTACTGGCTTAATTTATATAGACAGTTTGATTAGATTACCCAGGAATTTAAATCCAATGTTCAGAAACATTCAGTTCTATTTTTAAGAAGAATTCTATTGTCATTTTAACTTGAATCTATAAAGAACTATCAAAGCAGAACTTTCAGGGGTGTGGGAAGTTCAGTGGGGATGGAAATGTGCCTTTCTTGGTGCCTTTTGTTTGTTGGTTTTGGTTTTTTTTTGAACGAGGAAAAATTCCAAACTATGATGTGTCCTTGTGTTTAGATTGCTCATTTTCTTCTCACCCATCATGCAGTAGAAACCTGACTCAAAAAATCCACGGTCTTCCATACTTTCATCTTATTGCCTCTCTACCATTTGAAAGCTAGTGGAAGCATGGTCTGAAGTTACTTGTTTTCAGTTTTTAACTCAAAGTGTATACTCACATAAATAATATATCAGAATCCCATTCTTTGTCTTCAGGACACTCATGTTTTCTTCCAGGTCAAAACTAATCAGGTGTTTGTGAGTGTGTACTATATATACATTTTGACATATATAGATACATATATATCAATAGATCTCAAAAAGACTTCTCTTTCACTGCTTCAAATGGAATATTGTTTTTTAACAAGTCCCCAAACTTAGCAGGATACCTACATGACAGCGGAATTTAAACTTTAGTCCAACCTTTTTAAAAGGGTGACAACTACAGCATCCCTGTAGAAAACCAAAATAATCTGATTAATACATACCAGGCTGACAGTGAATTAACACAGTCAGAATTTTAATGTTCCAGTTACCATGCAACTGTATGACCCCTCTGATCACATAACCGGGTCACACAAAGAGGAGAGATGCCCTTTGATTAAACCCAAATCGCTCATTTGCCTTCAGACCAATTACACATGCCTGCTGCTTACATTTGCTACAGTTGCTTTTTGTATTTTCTGTTATGCCTCAGAGAAACAAAGCTAACCATTTTTTTGAGCCCAGAGGCTTTTGGTGACTAGGTGCAAGATTATTTCATTCCTCTGATTCTCTCTGATCATACCAACATTGAGAGATTTGGCTTCTCTCACCTTTCTAAAGAAACCGCCTGATTTTAAGACCTACAAGTTCATGGTTCACTGCCATGTAAACCTTAGCTACTCTCTTATGTATTAATTTCTCTGATATTACCCATTGCTCTCACAATGCTAAACCAGAAATGAATTTTCACAAGTTTTACAATGTCTATGATTCTATGTTGCATTACTGATTATTTTTATATTGAAATTGTATCATAATACTAAGTAGATGCTCCATTTGTCATTTTAGCTGTTACTTTCCCTTCATGTTTAATGATAATGGTAGCTACTGTAACCGAGGTGATGAAAATGCATGTTGAAATGAAAGGCTTCAAACTGAAATGTGACTAAAAAAGAGGTTAAAATGTGTCATTGGTTTAGGTAATGATTTAAGGTGCTTAACTTGTTTCATTTTACTGCCTTTTTCTCCCTCAAATTGTACCTGCTGCCTGTTCTCCATCAGTTTCATAGATCAAATTTGCTAACACTGCTGATAACACTATTTCCCTTAGCAAAAAAAAAAAAAAAATGCAGGGCTCGTACTTCACATAGTAAGTGAAATTACAGTACTTACATTTTCATAGTTCAGTTAATGCCCTTATTGTATTACTGTAGATGAAATCCACCGGACCAGCTTTGAATTGTGGTAGAAAATGCACATATTCTATAGTACATTTATCCTGAAAACGTTACAGCATCAAAAAATGTTCCAGTGTGAAGAAAAGAAACAAGAATTATGTTCCAGCACTGTATTTGAGAGACAAAATTGCCTTCTCTTTCAATGACAGTTTTACCTAAATAAAGTCTAATAACTGTAAAATTTGCCACACATTGTTTACTACACATATTAATTGTATACTGCTATTTCACAAATAAAAATAAGAATGCAAAACTCAGAGAAACACAGCTGCAATAATGCAAAAATAGTCCTTGATTATTTAGGCTTCTAATCATGTAAGCGAAATCATACACACCTTAACAGATGTCTTTTGGAGTATGACAAAATTGACGGTATTGAAATTCTGCATCTTTGCATTTCTAATGTGATTCCCCTGAATCATAACAACACAGTCTACACACATAATGTCAGTGCCAAGAAGACAGGAATGTGTGTGTCAGACTATCTGACTTCTAGTCCCATTTGGGAGTAGGTTGCTGAATACTATGAGATCTGTCACCATTTTTACAGTCTCAAAAGACATTGTTTCACTAGACAGCCAACAATTTCACATAAATGCCAGGTCTAAAATGGGTAACTTTAAAAGCCTGGACCTTACAGTCTTTTCAGCTGTTGCTTTGGTATTTTATTCACACAGGTGTGATGCTGGGTTAGCCAGACTGTCTGCAGAACATAAAATTACCTATGAAAGACTTCAGAGCTTAAGTAAAGACCAACAGACCTCCAAACTTATCTTGGAATCTAAAATCAAAGAAGCAGAAATACAGGTATGGTATTTAGACCAAAGCAATCCATGTATGGGTAAGAATTATAGTCCAATTCACACTGACTCCATTACTGTTAGTTATTATCCTGGGAGGTCACAGATTTACAAATCCTTATTAGATGGAATATTGGTGTCTAGCTGCATTGTACAAGTCTAACTGAAAAAAGGCCCTTTAGCATGCTATGTAGAAGGGGCTAGTACTTCAAAGCACCTGAAAGGACTCTAGGAATGAACAAAAGTCAGTGATTACTGGCCTGAATAGCTTCTTGAGGTTGGAATGTGAACACAACAAGGATGCTCTACAAAACTACTACAGCAGTGCAAGCATCAGTGTCTTCCCCTGTATGTTTTGGCCTTCCCAGGACGGTTTTGTATGTATTTAATTGCAATTTTCGAAGGCCTGGAAAACAAAACTGGTTTTATGTTCTGTGAATCCATTGACATGTCTGTTAGGTTTCTCTTCCACTGGGTATAGAATGAAAGTGAGAACTAGATAGAAGCAGAGACAACATTAAGGCAAAGGATTCTTCAGAGCTCCTTTCAAAGCGATCCCATTTTCTTGGGCAACCGAAGTAATTTACATCTCCATTGTGCAGCATGTAAATGGTTAAAATGCACTTCACCTTTCTCAGAAGGCTCAATACAGTATATTTGCATGTTAGGAGCATATTATCAGGAATCTTTTAGAACAAAATAGTATGTTTTCTAAAGATAAAAAATAGTTTCTGCTAGTAATAACTTATCCCCAATTAAATCCAGCACTTTCATCACTGCAGAGCCACTATACATGATCTGATAAAGAATATCACTCAGTATTGGTGGAATGCTTTGCCATTTGTTTACTCTGCTTATGTGGCAACACGGACACCTATGGATCATATAAATTCAGCTACCTCAAGGAGAGGGAGCTTGCAGATGCTTTCAAGGCAAGACTATTAAAATTGTTTATGGATGAAAAATTAGTTTTCACAATATTGATACTTTCATCTTGCAGGATAATATATTTTTCATGATAAAGTAAAACATGCAAATTCAGTAATTGTGAAGTGGTAGCAAAACCGGCCCTTGTTTAAGATCCCCTCTACCGTTATGAAAACGTCCCAGAGAGACTGTGATGAAATGCTATTGAAAAATTGTAAATTCTGAATTTCGTTTCAGATTTCTCATCTTCTGAGCAGAGTAGAGCAATCAATAATGCAGCAAGAAGCAAAGCTGAAGATTGCCTACAAAGAGAGCAACCAACAGCTCCACCTTCTGGATATAAAGTGAGTGCCTGGGAAACCTGGCTGCTGCTATGCACCTTGAAAGAGAGTCCTCAGTTTTCCAAGTTTGACTGTTGTAATCTTCAGGTCTATTAAAGCACGAACCTGTTTAAATAGGTACGTGTGCTCAACAGATACTACAAAAGCACATGGTCTGGCAAGGAGGACTCGCTTTCAACAAGAATTCTGTCCCTAATGTGATTAGGCAATTCTGAAAAGCCCACTAAGGCTCCAGTTAAGTATTCGGACAGAACTTGTATTAAAGAACACAAATAAGGATTTTTGCAGGAGTGACTTTTTTGTACAAGGCAATAAATGCTGTCGAGTGCAGACAAAAAGTTCAATTCAAGCCACCAGGAAGTGAGGCACAGCATTCACAAAGTGTTACTGCTTTAAATTGGCTTCAAATACGAATATATAACTCAAACACCTAAATTATTAACAATAAGGTACTGTGCAACTACTAGACATTATATAGGGATACACTCAATTCAGATATTAACTCCTCTCCAGGCATTTCACTCCGTGGCACTTGTGGCTTAAGCCGTCCACCTCCTCACTCCTTACTGCTTACTGCCAGCCTCATGCAATCCTACCTGTTACATCAGTAGAACTATTTGCAAACTAGATGAAAGAATAGATCCAGGTTTCAAATATTCACTGGAAAAAAAAAGACTTTCTAAAGAAACAGTTTCACTGCAGGGCTGGTCAGTACAAACTTGATCCGGGGTTAGGCAACGTAACTGGGGCTGTATGAACCAGCACTGCCTCTAAAGTAAATGGTTATCAAATCTTTGTTCAGATCTAAGACCTATGGACCTGAAGATTATAATCTGAACAGATGACTACATTCTGTTTTCAATGCTGTGAAGAATTTGTACCTACTACATCTCAAAATGTTGTGATATGTTTCATATAAATAACTACTTGTTATTTATATGAATATATATATTTATGTTCATATATTTATTGTGCTCTTTTGTCTTTATTTGCAAAACCAATATTACCTTATTCGATTTAGTAGCCTTAAAAGTTCGAGGATTCACTTTAATATGGTGTCATGCATGTACTGCATTACCATGATATTTTTTTTTTACAAACGTTCATAAACCTGTCCCAGCTGAAAGACCAAATTTTATTCTCTTTTGTATCTGCTAATTTCTATTACGCTCTTAGATTAAAAAATGCTATTGAAGAACTCAGCAGCCAGATTTTGTCTGCACGTAGCTGGTTGGAACAGGAACACGAAAGGATTGAAAAAGAGCTTGTGCAAAAGATTGACCAACTCTCATCTACTTTCAAGGAAAAAACTGTAAGTTTTGTTCAAATGTCCTAACAATATTTCTCAGGAAGTACTCAAAAGCATCATTAATATCTAAGATGATATAATGCAGATACTATTCGAGTGACATTTTCAGACCTCAAAATTTGTGTAATTCTCTTCACTGATGTCAAATGTAACATCCCCACAGCCTGAGAGTCTTCAAATAAATCTGATCACTTCTTAATAGATCAGTATTTTAGCCTATGGTAATCAAGTCTGTTTAAACCATTTAATAAAAAATAATTCTTTACCATTTTGAATTCCTCATAAAAGGGAATTAAATTAATATCTATTGTATACTTGGGAAAGACCAGTGTAATTTCACCTGCAGAGTAAATTACTAAAATTCTTTTCCCGTCTCCAGGAAATGAGTGAAAGAGCTATAGAGATGAAATTCAACCAAATGGCAGAGAAAATTGACAAAATAGAGGAAATACAGAAGATAACCATGGAAGCACATGAAGCAAAACAGACTGAAGAAAAGATAAATATTCGCATTGGCAAACTTCAAAATGAGATAAATGAAGATATAAAAGAAATGAAAGCTGAAGTTAATGCTGGTAGGACCATAGTTATGAAGTTCTTTATTCTGAAAAGAGGTAACAATGAGCCACCTATAATAATATTCAAAATGCCTTTGCCTGTATTGAGGTAGTTTAAAGATTCTTGGGGCAAACGTAATGGCTGCACCTGTGGCACTAAAAAGCATTTTCACCAAGTGTGAAATTCACAGCAACAAGAGGTGACATCTTTTTAGTTTAGGAGTGCTCTGGAGAGAGCACACATAGGCATAAGGTGGCTGTGATTGGGTTGCAGTTCTGCCATCAGCACAGTTATAGTCCTGTTCTTCTTTTGCTGTCTTCCTAGTGTAAAGCAGAATGTAGGAAGCACATTCTTTACTAGCATTATTACTAGATAGCAATAACCTTGCTTTTGAATATGAACTAATGTAAGTCTCACCTGCAATTAGGATTTGCAGCTATCTATGAGAGCATTGGGTCTCTACGGCAAGTTCTAGAAGCGAAAATGAAGCTGGACAGAGATGAACTACAGAAGCAGATCCACCAACTGAAGCAGGAGGTTCCAACATGGGGAGAGGCTGGACCATGACCGCAAGATTTTGGCCGAGAGATTAATGTTCACCTGGCTAAATAGGCAGACTGCAATCTTGTTCCAGTCTGTAATCCAAATTAAGTGCATGTACCAAACGACATGCCACTGTTGCACAGGTCCGTATGTTTACTCAAAGCGGTAAGTGCAAGCTCTTTATAGACCAGCTGACAACAAGCTTTTAGGCATGAGGTGTTGATTTGCCACTGCACTACTCTAGTTGTTCTCAGGAGATTAAGCACCATGTGAAACTGGAGTAATATATTGGTGAAGCTGGCACCTGATTTGCTAAAGGCATTCCAGTTTCACAGGCTTGATCAGACAAGTATACGCTTATATACGTTTAAGCACCTGCACAACCCCTTTAGAAAAGAAAAATAAAAAAGCCCAAAACAAACAACAAAACCTCCCCAACAAACAAGTTGATACAAATTGTTTGACATCAGGCTGGCAAGATGCTCCACCTTGAGACAAATCACTTGAGTGAAGTCAATGACATTTCCCTGCCACTGACTTCCTGGGGAGACAGAATTAGCACAAAACAGACCAATTTTTATAACCCAGATACCAACAGAAAAAAAATAATCTTTGTTTGGTTTTGCAAATATCCTCTGTGTGTGTAAACCAAGTAGTGTTATATAATGTAGTTGTAGAAGATGATTCATCAACAACATAAGAAACTTAACTTGTGTGGTCTTGTATTGTAATAGCTTTAAATTAATAGCCAAGTGGAGCTGAGACAGGGTAAAAGATGTACATATGAGTATTTTATAACTGGGCATGTGTTCCTGTGACTTGTTTCATTATAACTTTGAAAGGTTTGAACACAAAAGAGAAGGTGATAATCTAACAGTCTGGAGAGTGTAATGTAACATAAAATGCAGTTTATGATCTGCTTAGAAATTTTCCATGGAGTGAAACAACAGATTCTTCAGTTTTAAGTAGACTTTAATAATTCAGTAGATTCAAACTGCTATTTGTCTTCACAGTATTTCCAAATAATAATGGTGCTTATTTCCATTCTCAGAACAGATTACATAATGAAAATCAGCACCCATATAGCATACATATTAATCTAGACAGGAAAATCTATATATGTTGATTTTGTATCTTCATTCGTAGCTTGATAGTGTTCCTCATGTTTGTAAATCAGGCAAGATTAAGCACTCGTGAAGAACAAAAGACTTAATCCAGTACCTTATTAATTCATACTATTAACAACAACTCATATACAAAAAATACTTTGAATTTACACAAGCATTACTGTTAAAGTAAATAAATTATTAGGATGTTTCTGCACTGTCTTCAATGGACCTTTCTTTCGGCTAGTACTACAAAACCGTATTCCTATTTGAAAAACTAGTGGCCAGTTTCTCAATACTTCCATGAAAAGGAGGTTTGGGCCCCAGAGTCATATTTATAAAAAAAATAAAAAAAAACAACAAAACCCAAAACTCAAAAACCTTAAACAGTTTAAAAAAAGGATAGTGTAGTGTCTAAAAACCAAACACATCTTTACAGGCTTAATGCCTAAGTTTATATTCACTTCCTATAGAGTTTCAAGTAATCTAATGTATCAAAGATGGAGGAAGTTTCTGCAACTCTGGCTTCCAGTGCTCTCTGCCAACAAAACTGCCCCCATTATCCCTGTTTTGTATCATTCATGTGCTGTTGAGATATATTTACAACAGCAGCTAAGGGGAAAGACCAGTTTACTGAAGGGAGACATGGAAATACTTGCAGATATTTCTTAAGAATTGTCTTTAAAATTCATTCTTTTTCATGTCTGTATTCTCATCTAGTCTTAAATATTTAGCCATGGGCAGTGGACAAGCCACCACCAGTATTTTATAAAAAAAGAACAAAGTAATAAGCAACAAGAGATGGAAAAAAAACCCTGTAATTTTTTTCTTCTGCAATTGGAAATCTGTACCAGAGAGAATCTGGTATGATACGAAGAACCCACAAGGAGTCAGAGAAACAATTTATATAGGACTTCAGTAAAATGTTTCTCTTGTAATAATCTTGTGTGATTAATGCAGATATAAAATAACATATAAAGCACTGTTTTGAAAAGACTTTTTTCCTTAAATTTCAGTTAAAAAAAACAACTAAAAGCCCAAATAAAACAATATTGAAATGCAATCTACCATCAAGCATTGCCTTCAAACTATGTAAAGTGCTGTGTGGAGGGAGGCATGGGTTATGGGGACTCATATGCTGGAAAGAGGCAGGCAGAAATGGATAGGCTGGATACACACAAGTGTAGCCTGTCCGTCGTCCATCCTTTTCAGAGTGATCTAACTAGTCAGTTGTTAAAGGAAGCCACATATTCCAGACCAAGAGTTTCTGCAGAAAAGCCAAGGAAAAGCCAGGATGCAAAAAGTAATGGGAAGGAAGATTGAAAAATCTGGAGAAATAACAGAGAAAAAGAGTAAGTCAAAAGAGTGGCACAATGGAATGGTAACTGCATGGGCAAAGGCAAGGAGGAGTAGCTACCTGCTGATGGAGCACAGAACAGGTCTGAAGATTTTAGCAAGACCTGAAAGTTACAGACAATACTATATTTGATAAAAAGCAAAGACCCCTCAAGGAGAGGCACATTAATTCTTTTGTCCTAATTCATGCTCCCTACTTGCCCGCTGCATTTTAATCTGCTCAAAAAAAAAAAAAGGAAAAATAAATTCTTTTGTTTTCCCCCCAGTTACTTTTTTCTTTACATTTTCTGCACAAAATAAGTCAACGATGTCTTGTCTGCATAGTCTGTCAGGGAGTGCTCGTATCTGAATAAGTTACAGCTGAGCCCCTCAAGGGAGAGTTACAGTCCCTGTATCTTTCAATCATCTTGAAGTTGCATGGCAAAATCCTTTCCTCAGAAACAGCATGCCCCCAAGGAAATTATTATGAAGCCAGGAGGACAGTATTACAGGCACTGTGGTCTATGGAAGCTCCATTTTGCAAAGCTGAAACCAATTCTGAAAACTGACCTGCAGAGATCCTGTAAAACTAAACAGAAGGAAATAGATGTGCCTGGAAGTGGAGCTGCTCCTTTATTTTTTCTTTCCCTGCTGGTCTCCAGTGGCATTCCTGTGTGCCCGTCCTCTAGGGATACAGATGGCTTGTGATGGTGGAAGTAATGTGCTTTTTTTGTCAACATAAGTACTCATGCTCTAAGTCACCATCTGTACAGCACCAAACACAGGTCTGCCAGAGCCCACATGTGGAAAAAGGCAGTGAGAAGAGGCAGTTTTTTTCTAGATCACACACAAGCAAACAGAACAAGATTTAGTGTGTTTGGAAAAGTATAATACTGAATATGCACAAAATAATATTTAAAACACAAAGTACACTGACATGACCATAAACTCACTGAAGGAAAGATTGGAAGGAGCCTTTAGAAGACATCTGCTTCATCTCTCTCCTGCAAGATAGGGCCAATTCTACCTAAAATATTTGTCATAGACACTTCTCTAACCTGCGTACATGAATCTTTCAAGAACAAACCATTGAAAAATTCAGTCTGTTCCGATGCTAAAGAACACTGCCCTGCCACCCAAATACCTGAACTTTTGATAAGGCAAGACATAATGGGCTTAAATTTCAAGCACAGAAGATACCTAATTTATTCAATTATTCCCTGCATATCTATTATTTTTTTTAAACAATCTGTTTTAAAAAATATGGATCAATGCCCAATATTCCTTAAATGTTCATTCTCCATCATACCAAAAAAAATCCCCCAAAAAACCCAACAACAAAAAACAAACCCCACAAAACCAACCACTACCAACATCCAAAACCAGACAGAAGCAGACCACTTCCTCTCGTGAAGCTTTAAAATCTTTTTTGTCAGCTATTTAGCATGCATGAGACTTAACCCACTTGCATTGTGCAGACCATAGTATTCAGTCAGCTATGTTGCCTGAATGCCATAGCAAGTGTCAAAGGATAAACTCATACAATTTTTTTTTAACTGGGGTACATGCCTTTTACATTAGCATGTGATAACGACAGAACTACAGTACTGTACAGTGAAGGACTTAACTGGAAACAGAATTATGTCAGTAGATACAGAGCAATTGTGTTTAGATTCATTACACAAATCAAAGTAAGGATGAAACTAAGAAGTTAAAAGGATGATGCTGACTTCAAGATCTAGTTGTTTATGTAGTACAGTTTTGTATTGTGGATATTTTGTCGTTATGTACCAATATGGTTCAGTGGACAGTTCCTTGTTGGAGAAAAATCGTATGAAAGATAATGAACAACAGCACAGTCGTGTAATATCAATTTAAACTGAAATGTAATCTTTTCTAAGTTTCTCCGTTTCCTGCTCTACCTTTTTAAGTATTTAGCCACTAACATCTTAAAGTGCTCATTAGACATGTACTTAAATAATGGAAACGTCTAATGAGAGAGATACATGACAAACCGATGAAGGCCTCTCCTGTGTGTAGAGGAGGGAGTCCTCTACATACTCACCATAGTGTAAGAAATTTAGAGGCGAATTTGAAAAACAGTAATGGAAATTCTGTGGAATTCCTCTACTGAGTTGGCCACAGGGTGTCACTGTTACTCCTGGCAAGCAAAGAAAGATGCTCGATACGCTTCAATACCACTGAGACAGCTCTGGAAGTGTTTAACATCGTTATGCATTTTGACAAAAAGAATTAACACCAACTTCCCCCCCTCCCAAAAAAAAAAAAAAAAAACAACAAAAAAAACCCAACAAAACAAAACCCCCAAACATTTTAAGCAAAATTCTTTGAGGGTGGCTGTGGTGGTCTTTGAGGAATGCTGAGTGGGGACCAAAGCTCTCTGCTACCTTTGCTGTCAGCAGAACTTGGGCCAACACAAAGCATAAAAACCTCAAAGCTCCCAGACCCAGAAAAACATCAGGGGCAGCTCTTCTAAAGCATAAGATTCTAAGTCAAGCACAGATCAAAGAGCAACACGCATTCTACATTGATCATCCTAAAAGCTGCAGAAGAGATTCCTCTCAAAGCACTGCCTCCCATTCCAAGATTGACTGTGGCTGAAAGACCACAGGATAATCTGAACAGTTCCTACCAGGTGAAGTTCTAGGACTAGCACAAAAAGCCACTCTCAAACCATGCAAGGATTATTTTGCTAAATAATACAGTGGAATAGCCTCAAATTTTGCAAAATAAGTGTGAGAATCCTAACTTCTTCTGGCACAGATTAGTGAAAAAATGTTTTGAGCTCAGCAGATGATCAATGACATGTACCAAACCAGGACCTACTTTAAGAAGAAAGATGAAGTAGCAATTGTCATAATACAAAAAGCCTGAACTGTATGTGAAGATGAGAAGGGATTGCTGATGAGAGAGGAGAAAGGAGATGAATTACAAGAATGAAAATAACACTGTTCCACATACTCCAGTTAACTCTCATTAAACCTGACTTCAGTTGCTGCTGAGGGTCATTTTCAAATGCCATTGCAGTGACCAAGCTTCCATTAGATGCAACTGAAACTGAAGCAGACTATAAATGAAGACAGATTTTACTGGCTTTGCTGTCTCATTCTTGTGCTATTCTGATTGTACCAGGACTGGGAGGTAAGCATCTGCTTTGCTAGGTGGCCTATGTGATTGTGCTATCTTGATTATGAATAACTTAAAGGGTTCAATAGTTGTGTATTAAAATATATACGTGTCTGCATATATAACATCGAATTTCCATGTTGTGCCATGCTATTTTCTTCTTCGCTAGTTTTGAGAACTGTAATTTCAGCACGTTGCAAGTATCTTACATAAACCTTCAAATTCTAGGAAGGTGTAACAATTCAATGTAGAGCTTTTAAGATGCAAATAATTAAAAACAATAGAAATTAGACCATATTTTATGTTACTGCCATGCTTCAAAAAGATAAATGCTACCCTGTTTACTCCTATAAATAATAAACCTTATTTGCTTTACAAAGATTTTATGGGGATTGGTCTCTTTGTATCTTACACAAGTTTGAATATGTGAAGCGCTGTGACCCAATTCCACATATGCTCTCCTCTGTGAGCTTAATCTCCCTAAAATGAATGCATCAGCTCACAGCATATAATAAACTGCCTGCTTACCTCTTTGCATGTGTAATGTTTCATGCTGCAAGATGAGAGGAGTTGTTGATCTTTGGTATAGTCTCCTGGTATCTTGCCACATTAACAGAAAAATCTCAACCATTACTTAACATCTGGGTTTCCAGTTATCATGGACTAATGAGATTAAAAAAAATAATAGCGTAATATTACCTTCATTTATTTGTAATAATGTATCTCCATTATCCAGAGTG